AATATTTCGCTCTTTCTGCATATATGTTGAGATTTTCTTTGTCTATTAAGATTGAATAACTATTAGAAAGTTTTATGAAAAAATTCGAAATTGTTTCTGTACAGAGCAAAATAGTGAATTTTTGCTGTAGTCCTTAGTTTACGTAGTTTCTTTAATTCAGTATGTTTGTAAAGCATTGAAGTCTATAAAAAATGAAATATTAGAAAAAGTGAAATCTCTTTCCAGTAAAGAGCTGGTTTCTAGGGAAATCAGCAATGGTTGTTTCAAAAACTGCTTTTAAAAATACAAAAATATTAAACTTTGTTATGCAAAAGTAAATAGTAGGCTTTGTAGAGAAAGCAACAGTGAACTATTAAAAACTGTTCCACTTTTTGAATTTGATAGATTTCAATCGAATTACAAAATTAGAAAAAAAAAAGATTATCTTCTGTACAACTCTTATTTTAAAACAATCTGATGATAGTTGTTCAAGTTCACCTGAGAAAGAAATTTTCATTCTAACTAACTTTCAATGATTGTATTTTAGTGGCTGAAAAATAAGTGACTATTTCCTGCTACGATTTTCAGGCTGTAGGTTATTAATAGATTTTTTTTGAGATACTAAAACGTCATCAGAAAACCTCACTACGATTGATGATCAAGATGAAGATTTGTCACCAAAAACTAAACGAATGAAACATGAAGAAGGTAAATTATTATTCTTATGTTGCATATTTATAAATATAATTATAGTAGATGATGTCGATGAAAATGAATCTAAGAATGAGCATGAAGAGGAATTTGATGAAGAAGATGAAACGCCTAGTAAAATATCAATATGCAAAACAGAAGAAACAATCAAGAAGACTGGTAAGCTTATGCTGATTTTTATGTTCTAACATTAATGCTTTATCTAGACTTCCATCTAAATAATCTTAATTTTACTTTGAGATAAATGCAAAGTAGAGAGTTCTAAGTCTTTTCAGATCTAAAGTTGACCAATTTGAGAGCTGAATTTAGATCTATGGAATCATGGATCTACAGTTCTCTCATGCTGGGGACTATAATAAAATCTCACAGATTGAATTCAATTTTTTATCTGTTTTAGAAGTGCCAACAATATCTTCAATGGTTCTTAATAAATCAGCAATTGAGCATCGAAATCTTTCAAGTAAATAAGTATTTCAAATTCTTCGATATTTTGTTTTAATTTTATTTTCAGCTGAAACATCAGATCCTTCAAAGAAACGATTGTCAGTTCCATTAGGTTTTCCAACTAGTAAGATAAATATTCCATCACAGCATGTGTTTCGTGTTGGTTTATCACGTAAATCATCAACCATTAAACCTCTTCATCCTAATTTCACTTCACGTATTGTTCATGAATAATTCTCTACATGTGTGTTTTATGCTTGATTCTCGTATGAATATGTATTTATTGTACAGATACATTCTATTTTCAAATTATCTTAAGAGAAAAAAAGATACATGAAATATTCACTATATTTCTAGATACACATTCCAATAATTAAATGTGATGACAACATTTGTTACTTCAATGGTAAATGAAGAAAATAATAATCATGATTTAACAACAGTTAAATTTTTGATACATTATCAACAAGAAGCAACTGTTATTCATTTACCATATAGTTTAACATTAGAATCATTGTATAATCATTTATCTTCTATATGTCATTTAACATTAACGAATCCCCCAACATTTACTATTAAATGGCTTGATGAATCTTTAGATGCTATAACAATGTCATCACAAAGAGAATTAAATACAGCTATACGTTTATATAACAAAAATTCTAATAAAGAATTACATCTACATGTTTTTCCAAATCGACCTGAACAACCGGGACTTTTATGTCCAGGTGAAGATCCACTCATATATCGACGTGGTGCACGTCGTTGGAGAAAACTTTATTTAATAAATGGACATCGTTATCAAGCTAAACGATTTAGTACAACAGCTGTATGTACTGTTTGTAATGATCGTTTATGGGGTTTAGGTAGACAAGGTTATAAATGTCTTGATTGTCGAGTAAGTTAAAAAACCAATAAAAAAAAAAAATTTTCAAATTAGACAAAAATCACTTGTTGCTTTTCTTTTTAAAACAAGGTTCTTGTTCATAAACGATGTGTAAAACAATTACGAATAGTTTGCGGTACAACATCACCACAACATTCAAAATTTATCGATTCAAATGAACGACATACATCTATTAATAGTAAATTGAATGGACAACAAAATGGAGATAATGAACAAATTGATCGACATGGATCATACGGTATTAGTATTATCAATTCTCGAGATTCTATGTCAAAACAAAAAATCTCAAAAACTTCTGAGCCTGGCCCACTGAAAAGATCACTGGGTAAGAAGACTGAAGTCTCTTCACCTAAGTGAGTGTCGATTACACATGCAAACATCACTGAAGTGCTTATTGTTATGACGATATCTAATATATTTACAAATGTTCTTAAAAAGATAAGAATCGAAGGAATGACTTCTTACTTTTGAAAGCAAATCGAAATGTTCAGAAAGAATCTTTTATGAACTTCTTTGCAAAAAAGATTGATTGTTTTTCTAATACTCGATAGGAAACATATCTCATCGAAGAGAACACTGTTTATATGTTAAGATGTACGGTTCAACCTATTGCTTGTTTTTATAAATATTTATTATTGATTAAAACTAAATAAGATGCATGTTAATTAAGAGGCTTTAAAAAATCGTTCTCTCTAGCTCTAAGTTACTGAGGGCGCAATGATAACTTGTTTTTGTCATTGCTATTATTGCAAAGCTTGCTAATCAAATTAAATAACTTCATAATACTAATCAGTATTCTAATTCAAGATGGAAAACCGAAACTAAAAACTAAAACTTTTGGCGTTGACACACACGTAATCTGACATAAAATTTCATGATTATCTAATCTAGTTAGTAGCTGTTTTCAGACATCTATAGATTTTTTTAATTCTCAAAATATCCTAGACTTTTATGACGTACTTACAGATATTACTAAGAAAAATGAGTTTATTACTTATTCATACTTTGTTATCCAATCGATTTCCTCTTCAGTGTAAATTAAATATAAAAATGTATTATACGTAAGTACATTTGATTTTCTATCATTAAATTTTAGTCATTTGGTTATTGTAAATACTATTATAAGATTTCAATTATAATTTATTAAATGATATGTTTAGGTCTTACAGATCTTGATCATAATTCTATTGATGATCCCAGTGGTGTTAATAGTCATTTGATCGATGCAGATAATGATATACAAAATTCTTCATCTACTTCTCCAAACATAAGTTTACAAGATTTTGAATTACTTAAAGTTATTGGACGTGGTTCATATGCAAAAGTATTCTTAGCAGAATATCGTCCTCGGTATTTACGTAATAATCAGAATAATAATCAAACAGGACGCCTTTATGCAATGAAAGTAATAAAAAAATCAATTGTTAATGATGATGAAGATATTGATTGGATTCAATGTGAAAAAAATGTTTTTGAAAAAGCAACGAATCATCCATTTTTGGTTGGTTTACATTCATGTTTTCAAACAGCATCGAGACTTTTTTTTGTTATTGAATTCGTTACTGGTGGTGATTTAATGTATCATATGCAACGACAAAGAAAACTTCCTGAATCAAGTGCTAGGTTAGAAAACATAAATAAAAATTCTATGAAAAATTATTTTTTTTTTGTCTTTTTAGATTTTATGCAGCAGAAATAACAATTGCCTTACATTTTTTGCATGAACACGGTATTATTTATCGTGATTTAAAATTAGATAATGTTTTACTTGATGCCGATGGTCATATTAAATTAACTGATTATGGAATGTGTAAAGAAGGCGTAGATTTTAAACGTAGCGAACGAACAAGTACATTTTGTGGTACACCAAATTATTTAGCACCAGAAATGTTACGTAATGATGATTATAATTTTAGTGTGGATTGGTGGGCATTAGGTAAGAAAAATAATTTAATTTAACTATATGTTTTTTAATTAATTCTTTGTTTGTTTGCTTTCTAGGTGTACTTATGTTTGAAATGATGGCTGGACGTTCACCATTTGAAATAGTTGGTTCAGCTGAAAATCCTGATTTAAATACTGAAGATCGTCTATTTCAAGTTATTCTTGAACAACCAATACGTATTCCACGTTCATTAACTGTTAGAGCAAAAAATGTTCTTGATGGTTTTCTTAATAAAGATCCATCTCATCGTTTAGGTTGTCGTTATGATCCAATATTAGGTTGTAGAGCTGGCTTTCAAGATATATGTTTACATCCATTTTTTCATCCAGCTATTGATTGGCAACGTTTAGAATCAAAACAAATTATTCCACCATATAAGCCAATATTAACAGAAGATACAGATCTATCACATTTTGATCCACAATTTACAAATGAAGATGTTATTTTAACACCTGAAGACGAACAAGTTTTAGCTCGTATTCAACAATCAGAATTTGAAGGTTTTGAATATGTTAATCCTTTAATTATGACTGTAGAAGGCAATGTTTAATATAGATATATTATGTATGTTTACTTGCAATAATTTTTCTCATTTGCTTACCGTTGTATCCATTTGCAGATATAGAATATCTTTCTCTGTTTTTTATGTATGCATATCTCAATTGCATTGTATAATCAATTGTTTTTTTTTTGTCTTTAATATACATTCCACATAAAATAACAATCAGATTAGATAAACTTATAAATAAAAATATGTGTTGAACCTTGTTCATATTACAGGATAAGTTTTCGTTCGAACCTGTTCTCACTTTTTAGGGGTCAAGAAAAGTGAGCTCCAAACTGCGTAAACTCCAGATTTGGAGCTCACTTTTCTTCGGTCAAGAAAAGTGAGCTCCAAATTTGAAGTTTACGCAGTTTGGCGCTCACCTTTCTTCTCAACCCCTCTGCCATAATTCATAGCACCGCCTAGAATGCTCGTAGCATTTTCTGGGATGCTAATCACAATTTTCCAGGATGCTAGTAGTATCTCCTGTAATGCTTGGCGCATCACCTGGGATGCTTGTGGCATCACCTGGTACGCTTGGAGCATCACCTGGTATGCTTGGGGCATCACCTGGGATGCTTGGGACATCACCTGGGAGGCTTGGGGCATCACCTGGGATGCTTCGGGTATCACCTGGGGTGCTTGGGGCATCACCTGGAATGCTTGGGGCATCACCTGGGGTGCTGGGGGCATCATCTGGGATGCTTGGGGCATCACCTGGGATACTTGGCGCATCACCTGGGATACTTGGGACATCACCCCGGATGCTTTTGGCATCACCTGGGATGCTTGGGGCATCACCCCGGATGCTTTGGACATCACCTGGGATGCTTGGCGCATCAATTGGGATGCTTCGGGCATCACCTGGGACGCTTGAGGCGTCACCTGGGATGCTTAACGCATCAATTGGGACGCTTGCGGCACAGCCTGAGATGCTTGGGGCATCACCTGGGATGCTTGGGGCATCACCTGGGATGCTTGGCGCATCAATTGGGATGCTTGGGGCATCGCCTGGGATGCTTGGGGGATCACCCGGGATGCTTCGGACATCACCTGGGATGCTTGGGGCATCACCTGGGATGCTTGGCGCATTAATTGGGATGCTTCGGGCATCACCTGGAACGATTGAGGCGTCACCTGGGATGCTTAACGCATCAATTGGGATGCTTGCGGCATAGCCTGAGATGCTTGAGGCATCACCTGGGATGCTTGGCGCATCAGTTGGGATGCTTGGGGCATCACCTAGGATGCTTGGAGCATCGCCTGGGATGCTTGGGGCATCACCTGGGATGGTTGGGGTATCACCTGGGGCGCGTGGGGCATAACCTGGGATGCTTGGGGCATCACCTAGCATGCTAGAGGCATCACCAGGCTAGCCGTGTGAACTAACCGTTACCAGTTACCGAGGAAAGGGGTAACGGTCCTACTCTTGAGGTACCCTTGGGTACTCAAGGTCTACTCTAGGGCATACCCTTGGGTCCTCAAGGACGACTATAGCGCAAACCCTTGGGCGCTCAAGGCCTACTCTAGCGGGGTACCCTTGGGTCCTCCAGGCCTTCTATAGGGGGCTACCCTTGTGTCCACAAGGCCTACTATAGCGGTCCCAGAAGTCCTTATGGGCTATCCTATGGCGTACCCATAAGTCGCCATGGACAATCCCATAGCGGTACCGTAGGCCCTCTTGGGCTCTCCAAGGGGATACCAATAAGTCGTGATGAGCTATCCTAGCTGGCTACCCATAAGTTTTCACCGGCTATCTTAGGGGGTACCCCTACGTCGCCAGCATACAATGGGCTATTTAATTTCAGTCTGAATTTATCAAATAAAAATAATACTTGATTTCAAACTGAAACGTGAGTCAAGGAGTGAGGGGAGGGGGGTGACTGAGGGTGTGGGTGTTGGTCTGGGACCCACACCCATGGTGCGGGTGTGGGCGCGCGAGTGAGGGTGAGGGTGTGCTTGTGGTTTTGTGTACTATAGGCTTTAGTCCCCTGCATAGGGGACTAAGGGAGGACTAAGATTTTTGTGGGGGGGGGGGGGCTAAGGGGGACTTTGTAGGACTAGGGGGACTAAGGGGGACTTTGTAGGACTAGGGGGGACTAAGGGGGACTTTGCAGGACTAGGGGGGACTAAGGGTTTTTAGTGAGACTACGTAGTATCAAGCGAGAAAAGTTTGATTCGGAAGAAATTGGTGTGGTTTTTTTGATTTTAGAATTCAGTTTGAAATAAAAAAGCCCATAGACTCGTCGCCAGGGGCTATCCTATAGGAGTACCCATAAGTCGCCATCAACTCTCTTAGGGGCGTACCGTGGGGTTCTTGGATGCTGCTATATCATTAATTTCCGAGATAATACCGAAGAAGCAATCAGAAATCTGCATGTTCAACAAGGAACCAATAAGATTGGGGGTTTCTATTTCTCAGTGATATAAGGGACGGAGCCCCATACATATACCCCTCATTCGATAGAGAATCGTCGATAACCCTAGGATCCGCCCGAACATGTCTAGTGGTTGTCCGGATAATAACCAAGAAAAGGTCTCCTGATATCTGATTGGTCCATTTTTCGACCAATGGGATCACGAGGTTCTATTTCTCAGTGATAGGAGCGACCAAGACCCATACATAGACCTAAGGGTACCCCCCTAGAGTATCTCTTGAGGACCCTGCAGTACCTGAAGAGTAGGACCATTGCTCCCTTTCCCCGGTAACTGATAACGGTTGCTTCCAACGGCTACCCAGGTGATGTCCCAAGCGTCCCAGGTGATGATCCTAGCATTCCAGGTGATACTCCGAGCATCCCAGGTGTTGCCACAAGCATTCCAGGTGATTTTCCAATCATCCCTGAGGTTGCCCCTAGCGTCCAGGGTGATGCCCCTAGCATCCCAGACGATGCCCCAAGCGTTATAGGTGATGCCACGAGCATCCCTTGTGTTGCTCCTAGCATCTCAGGTGATGTCCCAAACATCCCAGATGATGCCTCAAGCATTCTAGGTGATGCCCCTAGCATTTCAGGTGATACGTCTAGCATACCTGGAGATACCTCTAGCATCCCTGGACATACCTCTAGCATACTTGGAGTTACCTCTTGCATCCAAGATAATGCTACCAGTATTCGATGTCGTAGTATAAATCATAACAAGAATGGAGGAGAAAAGTGAGCTCCAAATTTGGAGTTTTCGTGTGGAGCTCACTTTTCTTGACCAAGTTTTTCCGCGATTTTCTTCTGAAACCAATCTTATACGTATATATTTTTTTATTAAATTGAAGGAAATACAGTTAATGCATGATTAATAATAGCGAATATAATTCATAGACAAAATTAAATTAAATTTCAGTTTTACAGTAGCTCGTTATTTGAGATGAATTCTTCTTAAATGCGATTTCAATTTATTTTTTCTTCTGCTCGAAGGTGTGTCAGTTTTTCTTCAATAAGTTCTATGATTGAAAATATATTATTTATGTTTTCTTGTAATTTATTTATTTCATCCTTTAATTCATTTAATTTATTTATTTCTTCTTGTGACCAATATATCCCTAATGTATGACCCGCAATTGTTGTTATTTCCATTCCTGTTATAGTACCATATAACATAAGAGCTGTTGATGTTAATATAGCTGTTGGTGTTTGCATAAATTGAATACCATTTCCAATTAATCTTATTACATTATTTATAGTACCGCCAATATGATTATCTCTACTTTGTTCTATAGATTTTGAATGTGCATCGATTTCTAATAGAATCATATCTAACTCTCTTTTTGCAAAATTGATTGATATTCTGCCATATTTCAAGTTTTGCCATGCAGAAGAATACGATTCTTTAGTTTGAACTAAATCACTTAATTTATTAGTTGGTATAGCATAAGATTTTATATATGATTCTGATTCCTCAATATATTCTTCAACTTTTTTAATTGATAATCGTAATTTGTCAGATTCACGATACGTTTTACTTAACTTTATTTGACTACATGTTTTTCGTAACGTGATACCCATTGCTATTAATGAATATATTGCACCATTAACTTGTTGCCATAATGAATTTTCAAATTGTTTTATCATTTCTGTATCCATTTGTTTCATTAATTCATTTATTTTTTTTATATCAACTTCATCACAGTTGTCACCAAAGCATTGCTCTGAAAGTTTTTGTATTTCGTAATGACAATCTGGTGCATATTCTGATTGAAAATAAGCTAAATAGTTAGTACAATTTATTTTAATTTCTTCTTGAAGATTTTGATGTTGTTGCCAACGTATTTTGGATTCACAATTGTTTTGTTTAACTTTATTTAATGCTTCAGTCAAACTTTGATGTAATTTTTCACGTAATACGAATCCATTCAACCAAAACCGACTAATATTAACAGTGGTATGGTAAGTATAGCCTATATCGGCTATCATTGTGCCATATTTACTTAAAATATCATTGCTGACATCATCTTGATTTTTACCTGTCGGTAATGTAACTCCATTAAAATGACTGAATATACTGTCTTGCTTAGTAGATATTTGTAACGCCATTTTCGCAAAATTTCAGATAGTCGTGTAAATTATAACCTGTTAAGTTCGTAATATGTTGCTATGTATAAACAGTTTATTTCCAAGCAAAAATACAGAAAAATAACGGTTTATTTATATATAATATTAAGTTGGAAAATACCAAGCGTACACAAAAAAAACACGAAGACAAATTATCGAGAAAAAGAAAGGGTGCAATCGAGAGGCACACGTGGCAATGTACATGCATGTCAGAAAAAGAAAAGAACAAAAATAGACATGAGTAATTATGGTGTTTGTTGTGTTATTTGAGCTTCAAGAAGGGTGTGGGTGCGGATGGATGTGGATGTTGCAGAAGAGAAGGTTCCATCCATATCCAAACCCACACCCACTAGAAAATGTCGTTTCACTCACACCTTCTGATAAACCTACTACACCATGTCAAATTTTCTTGTTTCTTGCACTCATTTCTATCGAACAATTTACTCGACTGGGTTCGTTAACACTTCTTCGTATGAAAGATCAACATCTGAAGTTTATATTGAAGCATGCTATTAATTTTTCACTCACCTTTCTATCAATCCAAGAGAGAGAGTATGCTTATCTTTCGAGTATAATCGATGATCATCTCTCCAGAATCATAGAACGTCCTGGACTTCAGAATTTGACCTTCATAATGAAAAAAGATGAAACGGATCAAATAAAATGGCGAATTTCATTGATAATACAACATCTGACTGTATATCATTGTAATGTGAAGTATTTTCCAATCATTTTTCTTCTTTACGAACATTATTTATCAAATATTGCAACATGAACGACTTCGAGTCCATTGGTTTGGGCGTACCTTTCGGTCCTGTACCAATATATCAATTAAGTTCTCTAATAATGGAAGATATTGGCTTGAATATGAGTAAGATTGAAACACTTCTTTCTAATACACCATCACTGACGCATCTCCAATTGATTGGTACGTTAGATAAAATCTATTTTGAATGGGAACAATTGATACAAACAAACTTGTCTTTGTTAAATCAATTCGAATTTTCGTTTTACACACGGATATATGTCAGGAATAGTGCTGATCATACCGAGAGAATTATTGCTTCATTTCGAACACTGTTCCGGGTAGAAATCAATTCTTGATTTGTTACTTGTGAGCAGATCATGCAAGAAGATATTCATACACATTCAAATTATAAAATTCATCTCGATTCGATACCTCTTTGTAATCATTATTTTGAATATTATCCTGATTCGATCAAAATGACTTCTTCGACTTCATTGGGAATGAACAATGATATAGCAGTAATGGATTATGTGAATATGGTATAGTTGGACATGGGAATAATAATGATCATGTCGATGAAAAACGAAGTAAGATATACGACAATTTCATGAAAGCGAATATATAACTTTTTTTGTCAGCAAAATCGGATCAGAAGCTACTGTAAAAAGAGAATGAGTGTTTTATTGCAAATAAAAAGATTTGTCCTGGAGGGAATGGTTGAATCCATTAGTTTTCAGCAAAAATCGAAAAAAAAGAAGAGAGCCAAGGTAACAGTATAGTTCCTCCTAAAGAACTGTTTGAACAATATAGTTCTTGCAACAGATCTGTTCAAACCCTTATAGACATACGTGCGAAACTGAAATCTATTGCTGGATTAGTATGAAAA